GCCCCCCCCCCCCAAGATATTTTGGTTTCTAGATATGACTTGGGTCCCTTGTTCAATGTAAGTATATGGGGATTTGATGCATTGAGTAGTATTTAGCGGGCCATGTGATGTCAAAATGGGTGACCAGCCTTAATTAGAATAAGAAATTTCTCTAGACTACTATATGATGTGTTTTAACAATTGTGTTGTACAATTGTGATGTTTGATTTAAAGTATTTCATACAAATTAATGGTTGAACAGATATTTCCTTTCACATTGAGCTCACATTTGTACATGAAAGTCTTCATTGAAGGAATCCTAAGATTTTTTTTTTTTTTGGTAAACTGTATTCATATATTCTTAAAACACACACACACACACAAAACAAACAAAAACGAAAAACAAACAAACAACAACAAAAAAACACCCCACTAATTCTATTTTCCCCCACCATCCTTCCACAGATGATGCATTTGAGCCCCTGCAGGTGGAACCATTTTCCAGCCCTCCTGAACTTCCTGATGTTATGAAACCACAGGACTCTGGCAGTACAGCAAATGAACAGTCAGTGCAATGAGCTGCACCCTAATGGCTAGAGTATCAGGAGTGTACTACTAAAGCTGAGCTAGATGGGGACTGATACAATGATGTAAAGGTGCTGCAGATGAACATTTGAAGTCTGGCTTCCACTAACCACTGAACTAAGCCAGTTATGAATGTCCAGAGAATCACTAACGAATAAGATTATTGTTATTTATGTTTATTTTATTATCTGGACTGACACATTTTCTTCTCAATTGACTGGCCTCATTTTGTACACGTTTCTTTTTTTCTTTGACTAAATGACATTTGACACATTTGAAAATGGAAATGTTTTTCTTCAAAGAGACTGCTTTCATCATTTATTAGAAAAATAATTGGGGTTTAATGGCACAAATGTCACATGGGGCGAGCAAGTTTGGTGAACAGGTTTGAAACGCAAATTTGCTTGTATCAGTTTTAACATTTTGACATGAATTTGTGCAGTAAACCTGTTATCGTGTTGTCTTTTGATGAAGATTGCTTAACATTTTTGTTTTATCTTTCCCTGTAGATCTCCCCTGCATTTTTTTTTTTCTTGATTCTGTTTGTGGTTGTTTGTACTTGCATTGCATTTAAATTCAGACCAAAGCATACTTGCGGTTGTGTAACAACACTTGTGTTAGTAACATTCACCACTGTGCGCACTTTTGATGTAACTTTTGTTACATAACTGCCAGATGTTCTTTGGTCTTTGAAGGACTGCACACTAAAAGCATGACCAAAACATGTATGTGTTGTATGTTGTATTTAATTTTATTTTATGAAGTGGGATATATTTCTTAGAGCATGTAACAGCTTTATAGTGAGGTAAATAAATGTAGTTGTAGTTTTAGTCTTGAAGTGTAACCATACAAACTAGTAGGCTACTGTGGTGGTACCATAATTCTTTAACATTTATACCATGGTACTAAATCCACCTTTTTTCTGACCCCTCCCCCTTTTCCCAAAAAGTGGAAAGTCCATGTTATTTACATTTTCCAAAGTTTTTTTTTTTTTATATCATAATACATGTTACTGTCCTTACCTTTTTATTAGCAAGTAAGCCAGTTAATTAGGCCAACTGTGCTAAGATCAGCTTTTATGAGTTAAATAACACTAAGCCAATAACGTTGTACTGAATGATCACTAATTAGCCTACGCCTTGTACATGTAAAAACAAGCATTGTGGGGAGAAAAAAAACAACATCTATTGAGGACGCATCCTGTTGTTTTTTACCTCTTAGGCATTCAAGTATCTTTTCATGCAGTACGTACTTTATTTATTATTGTAATTTCCCAGCAGTCGGTATCAACATTATTATGAACAACAAATGCGCACTTTTCAATCCCAAATATGGGCTGGAAATGTAACTAGTTCCGCCCCTCCGAACCGTTACGTCCTCTGGAATAAGAAAACGGCACAGTCCGAGGACAACTCCCAGCCTGGAAATTTAGGGGCGAGCAGGAAAAAGACATTACCAGACATATTTCTCCGCTATAAACCCTTTTGCTTTCATCGGGAAGTCATACAAATTTGATTTTTTTTTTTCTTTAGTTTTATTTTTCTTTAACTGATGGACGATTTAGGTATGTAATGTCAAATTCTTTATGGCACGTTTCCTAAATTTTCCTTGAATACATCAATGCAATGTATATAATGGATGGGGCAATGTAACTGATTAATAGGGACAGGGAAAAGATTGGGAAAGGGCCTCGTTTCGTTTTTCGGCTAGAAAATTGTTGAAAATATATCCACATAACATTAGATAAACTCGAGATAAACTAAGATTAGCTAGCCTAACGTTAGATGGAGACGGAGCCAAACTCCTGGCTGCAGTTTGAAAACAGAGGCGCACACCGTCCAAAATAATTATATAATTGGTATGTCCACTGATATATCAGTTCTTTGTGGCAGTTTTCAATTGACACGTATGTTTAATACGTCCTGAGAGTGGGCATCTGATGTCATCCCACATCTGCCCACATCTGGTAACGTTTAAGGACTAGCCTATATAAAGACTTAATGGATCCTATGAAGAAACACCCGCCCTTTCACAGTAGACAAACTTGTTGTAAAATGGCCACCGCAAAGCTGGATAATTCATTCTGAGGATTGGAAATATTTTATATTCTCAGAAATCCTCATCTGTTCAAATTTGGATGTAAACAAAATGTAGCCTATATAGACAGTATATAATTTGGTATTATTCAAAGTACAATTAAGTATCATGATACATGAGTATGTTAATAATTATACTACTACTATTAATACTATAGTATATTTTCAAATCATTGACATCTGATGCCACTACATAGCACTTTTTCTACAAAAGTGCTCAGAAAATTTAAATTGTAATGCTGAATATAATATTATTGACTGATTTATGGGTTAAATAACTTCCACTCTTGTGTGTGTGTGTTTTCAGAGCTTTTGAAGGTTATTTGTCAGCATACCGCATGAATGTAGAGTGGGTTGCTTTGTGGCAGAATTAAGCCAAGCCAAACAGACATGCAGCTCTAAATATGGTTAGAATTTCTAGAGAGAAGAATTCTATCTCCTTATATGAGCACAGTGCAAAAACCATCTGGATTAGGATGTGTTGTTGAACTGGGTGATGAAATAACTTCTACATGGACTAAGTTCATCTGGGGCGATCTAGTAATATGTTTTGTTCTTTTAAGCACACTTTTGAGGGACATTGATCTTCTTGACAGAGATTTAAAAAAAAAATTCAATAATATATATATATATATATATATATATTTTTTTTTTACAGAATAATTAGTGCTTAGTAATATTAAATAATATTACATATGTACATTCAGGGGCACAACTAGCAATTTGGTAGCCATTTGTTTATAAAACACCAATGTTGCTACCTTTGACCTTAGTGTTGGGTCAGAAATAAAGTGACAAAAGTGCCGCAGGTATTTAATATTTTCATTTAATACAATGTATTATATATACTTAAAATTTTAGTGTCTCAGCGTTGAGTACTGAATTAATACTAGTAGTTTAAGGTAGTAATAATATATTTAGTATATAGTATATTTTATACTAAAAGTATTTATTTGTAATTTGTACAAAACTACATTATATATAATTATGACTTCAGTGTCTCTGGGTCGTGTGCTGAATGCGTACTAATAGTATGAAGTGAGTTTAGATTGAGGAAATGTTTTTTAAGAAATGTGATTACATAAAATTCACAATGGTGTTAGAGTGGGCGTTAGAGTGGGCTTTCAGAGAACACTGGTGATGAAAGCAATGTTTTTGAAAGGGGGCAATGAAGTGTTCTTGGGGGTATTAGTTTAAGGCAAGTTTACATAATAATAATAATAATAACAACAACAACAAATAAATTATACATATTTTGAGCTACAACAATGTCACACTATCAACAGGCCAACACTGTCCATCTTTACATAGCTGTCAATGTCCCATCCACAGTTTCCTTTTTGTGGTTTGTATGTGGAAGGAATTTTGCTGGCTTCAGGAAGAAAATAACAACACCATTTTTGGAGCATTGCAGGACATTGCACACCCATATTCACTCTCACTGGACACATTTCAGTTTTTCCGCCTCTGTAATGTACAAACAGGCTGTTGGTTGTAGTTTTTGCTTTGCTAGCTGATGTGTGTCAGTGTGTCTATGTTCTCTTAGTCTGTCTGTCTCTCTTCAGGAGTGTGTGATACATCCAACTACCCTCTCAGTCCCCGTATTGTTATGTTTGGTACGTAGTTTTCTGTCTGTCTGTTTGTCCACCCGTTGATGTGTATGCTCAGTGTTTTTGACTGATATGCCCTAGTAATTATTTTGCTTCTTTTATCTAAATAAATCTCAACTTTGGCCTAGTTTTATTTGAATGTAACACATTTACAACATTTTGCTTTGCATGTTTTGTTACTGCAACACTATAGTACACTGAAACACCATTCAAGCATGATACAACTGATACTGAGCTCAATTCCAGAGCTGTGCCAATGTATTTCATGCATACAGAAAAGTCATATAATGATATGACTTTTCTGTATGCATGAAATACATTGGCACAGCTCTGGAATTGACCTTCCATTTTCAACTATTTTGATTTTAGTCCGACTAAAGTGTTTACATTTTAAAAAAAGACAAATTATTGTTTTAATCTGACTGAAATGACAGCCAAAGTCTGCCTGAAAAAGTTGTAGATTCTGCTCTCTAATGATCTGTATCATCTTTCCTTCTGCTTGCTTTCACTTTGTATGGAATTTAAGTTAAACGCTTCAATAAAACTTATATTTGTTTTTTATCTTTTAAAGGGGTCCTATTATGCTTTTTCACTTTTTCAACTTTAGTTAGTCTGTAATGTTGCTGTTTGAGTATAAAAAAGATCTGCGATGTTCTGGACTTGCACAAACTGCGTTGCAATGCAATCTTTTTCCAAAATATAATTTATGTGAAAATATGAAGTCTGTAAACCCCCGTTAACACAGGCCAGAGACGTTGAAGACGGACGCACAGAGAAAAATACTGTAGCAGGCAGATCACTCACTGTTCATGATGCACGAACTATTAACTGTAATTACAGATTTAGGTTAAATAAAGATGTCAGTCTTTATTTTTCTTCTTTTTAGGAAACAAATCAAAGAAAAAATAAACAAATTCTACTGTTCCTAATATTCTGTATGTTGCTCAAAAACAAAATATATTGTGTTCAGTGGAAAATTTTTTTTTTTTTACCCAGTCATTTAAAAATCTGCGATGTTACAAAGCTCAAAGTCCACTTCAAAAGGAGATATTTTATTTAACAGAAATCACTTTTCAAAAACTACAAAGAACGACTCATTTGGACTACAATGCATATTTTCCGGTATTTGTGATATCACAAATATCGACGAATGGGACGAGACCTGGTTGAGCTGCACTAGAGAAGGCAACGAGTGTTATCACTATGTCGCAGACACGCTAGCTTTCCCAAGGCAGACGAACTTAGAGTGGTTACAATCATCCGGGTTTAAATGGCGCTCAAATTGATTTGATTTTGACGCAATATTTACACTGAAGCTTACACTGAATATTTACACTGAAGCTCTATGGTAAGGGGCATGACATTTCCCGACCAGGCGCCGAGTGGTGCCAATAACAGCACACACTGGCCCAGCTAACCAATCACAGCACATTTCGTATTTCAGAAGGCGGGCCTTCATTTGATACAGGAACTATTCGAGCCGTTCATGCCAGACTGGGGAGAGAGGTGTTGTAATAATGTAAAATATGTGAAAAATAATGTTTGAGAGCCTGTTCTAATACACCCCCAAAACAAAATCAAGACTTTGTAAAAGAGCATAATAGGACCCCTTTAATGTTTTTTAACATTTTTCTGTTTTTGACACTGCATAGGTTTTTAGTTTTCAACACTCATGAAATTGATAGAAGAGATGCCAAATAGGAAATTAAGCTGTAATGCATGCAAATTGGCATTGCATGTGTCTTGTGAAACAATGTCCTGTGACCTATTGGTCAAAAGTTATCCAATAATAACTAATTGTACTAATAGCCATTAAACTACTGTTCCTAAAATAACTACAGTGGTGCTATAGTTGCACTTGTCTGGGTTCTTAATGTTTTTGGCCCTGTTATTAGCGTTGCAGTGGCCCCAAACATATTTGGTTTGCTTTTTAATATGAAGCAATCAATGTTTTGTTCAAAAACAAAGTTCAGAAACAGTGCTTACTGATATAAAATGGATAGATTTTAAAAATTGAAAAAGGCATAATCAGACCCTTTTATAATGTGCTCATAAAGCCGTTAAAAATGATTAAGATACGTGCCAATCATTAAGGATCATCATCAGAACAACAGAGGTGAAAATCAGAAAAGAAGAAAATGAACAATCAGGCACTTATTCACTGATAACTGGCAGGAAGGAACATAAATTTGAAGTAATGAAGTATGAGGGTGTAGTTTCAGTGGCAGTCTTGAAAGCCACGCCAAAGCCTTAAATTTGTTGCTGGTGGCAACAGGAAGCCAGTGGACTGAGATCAAGAGAGATGTAATCTGAGAATCCTTTTGTTGATTGAAGACCAGATGCGTTGCCATATTTTGGATAATTTACATTAAAATTAATGAATTTAGTAGGCACTTTTATCCAAAGCGACTTAGAGGAAGTAAAGCCTTAGAATACATGTTCAAAAGCAATTTGCCACAAAAACAACAATACTCATAGTTTACGATGTCAGGTTTATTAGAAAGCTATTAAGACACAAGCTATAGAGCAGAGGAGAAATGTAGAAGAGGATTTCTGTGTGTGCATGTATGTGTGTACCTGGTGTTCCCTATGTTATGGGGACCAAATGTCCCCACAAGGATAGTAATACCAGTACATTTTGACCTTGTGGGGAATTTTATATATTTTTTTTTTGGTCCCCGTGAGGAAACGTATAAATCAAACAGAATTAAGTTTTTTGAAAATCTAAAACTGCAGAAAGTTTTGTGTGATGTTTGTGGTAGGGGAAGTGTTAGAGGATATAAAATACAGTTTGTACAGTATAAAAACCATTACATCTATGGAATGTCCCCCAAAAAACATGGAAACCCAACATGTGTGGGTGTGTATAAGTGCATTATGGGTGGGTGCGTATGAAGTGGTTAAGTACTTCTTAATGTATCTTAAAAGTTGTGATAGACTCAATTCAGATTGAGTCTGGCAGCTCATTCCACCGAAGGGGAAGAGAGGTGGTCAAGATTTTGGGTAGAGTCGTTGTGCCTTGTTGTGAAGAAACATCAAGGCATCACTCGTTCAGTGACCATAGCTGGTGGGAGGGTACACTAGAATTCACTACATAAACTAAAACTGCAGCTTTTTTAGATGTAAAAAAAAGATCTAATTAAAATCATGTCGGATCTTTTTCTACCTATAATGTAATATTGAAAATTCATGTAAGAAACAAATAAAAACTTTTAAGAGAGAAAAAAGGAAAAATAAATAAATAAATAAAAGTAAATGTGCACACCCTTTTATAATAAAACATGGTACTTTGTTTGGAATTAACGTTGGTCATAAACTCTTTCTGAAAGGTTATTATAATCCTCCAGTCATCAATTAAGTGATTATAATTAAACCCCAATAAAAAAGAGCTTATAAAGGATGAGTTGGGATCTCATTGTGTAGAGCAGGCAGTGGCGCAAAAACGGGGTATGTAGTATATGCAGTGCATAGGGGTGCCACATAGGGGGCGCCATTTTGCCAAAATCATTCTGTGAAAATCTTCTTTAATAAAACGTTATAAATAATCAAAAGCTTAGTTATTAAAAATAATTAATGCAACATTTTTATTGAATGGTTTTTAGCATTTTAATGAGTTCAAAAATGTATTTATTAAAATCTTATTAAGATGCGGAATGGCCGTATCTCTTTGCGACCACAACAAACGTCTCAGGTTACGTATGTAACCATGGTTCCCTGAGAAGGGAATGAGACACTGCGTCCTCTAGGGGTCACTGTGGGGAATGCCTAAAAACAACAATAACATTGGCCGGCAACAGCCTATGACGTCATTACCCTGCATGATCACAGTATAAAAGGACGCCGGGATAACACGTCATCCACTTCTTCGTCTGAAGCTTGCGTCCGAAGCATGGCAAGGAAACTAGAGGACGCAGTGTCTCGTTCCCTTCTCAGGGAACCATGATTACATACGTAACCTGAGACATTCCCTTTCGAGGGAACTTCGAACTGCGTCCTCTAGGGGTCGCTATGGGGAACGATATACCCACGCCACCATGCTGAGGGGAGTGCAAGCCAGAACCATGGCGAGCACTAAGTACCAACTCTACCATAGCCATGGGAGTTGCCCCTAGGATGCCTTGATGGCTGTCAGTGACATTATCCCCTCCGGCCAAGGGCCTGAGCTGCATACCCTAAACAACTTATCTGATAGTGGCTGGGCTGGGAAGCCCAAGCCTAGGGCAGAGCTCAAAGGCTTGGAATCAGAAGAAAGAGATTCCTTTGAGAGGATACGGCCAGGTCTGTCACCCAGGGGGCTACTGCCGGCTCTGAATAAGCTCGCTCAAAGAACTGACTCGACAGATCTTTGGTAGCAACACCCTGCTCAGAAATGTATCAACAGAGATACATTAGTTGAGTGGAGCCCAAGGCGAGAACCGTGGTCTAAGCCAACTCAGAGAAAGGAAACGAGGCTGACAGTGCGTAACCCTTACCATACAGGATTTTAGAAAGTGCGCAGAATGCTTAGCGTGCACACTTACCACAATGTGGATTTTAGAAAGTGCACAGAGGCTTAGCGTGTGCACTTACCATAGCATGGATTTAGAAACACCATTGCTTAAGGGGTAACCAAGGCTGTATTAAGCCAGCCTAGGGGCCTTATGTGACTGTGGCACGCTCACAGAACAGATTTCAAAGCATCTGCTCACAGATGCCCAGAAGGTAGCAGTGCGCTTGCAAAAGGCCCTTCATGATGAGGGGAGCACAGCTAGCTGACTTAACAAGCAACCCGCCTGGCATGATTGCTATACGGAGCTCAAAAGAGCGGAGGCCCAACTTCAAAAATAGAAGAGAGACTCGATGCTCAGATCGAGAGGGGCGTGCTCATATGAACCCCCAAGGGCATTGCTAAGCTTGACCCCAAGGAGAGCGGCTCAAGAGGAAGGCGGAGAGAGGCCTAACAACCTGAGCTCAAACGAGTGGAGGACTCAGAGAGAGAGGGCAGATAGATCACAAATGGGACATCA